CTTTCCTCCAGCTCTGCTTCACTCCCACCCTATTTGACTGATATTTCCGTCCTAATGTGTCTTATACCCCACCTCTTATAGACTGTAAGCTCGTTTGAGCAGGGTCCTCTTCAACCTATTGTTCCTGTAAGTTTTCTTGTTATTGTCCTATTTATAGTTACATCCCCCCCCTCATAATATTGTAAAGTGCTACGGAATCTGTTGGCGCTATATAAATGGCAATAATAATAACAATAATAATAACATGTTTATAAATGATCTTGAAAAAACCATTGAAAGTTATGTTGCATGCAAGATATTACTTTGCTGCAGAGGGATTTAGATTGGGAGACTGGCCACTCAAATTGCAGATGAAATGTATTGTAGAAAGTAGAAAGTTATGCAATTCGGGGTAAAGAATGCACAAGCAACTTATACCCTAAATGGTAGTGAATTAGAGATAACAACACACGAGAAGGATTTGGGATTTGTTATAGACAACAAAGTAGGCAACAATGTGCAATGTCAATCAGCAGTGGCTAAGGCCAGTAAGGTATTGTCATGCATAAAAAAACAGAAAATAAACGCTCAGGAACACACTCTCGGACAATGATATCATTTTTAAACTGTAGGGTAATAGCTTATTGATCCACGGATAAATCTCACTGCCAATCTGGGATTAAAAAGGAATTTTCCCCTAGTTTGTTACAAAATTGGAAATGCTTCAAACTGGGGTTTTTTCCCGCCTTTTTTTTTGATCAACAGGAACAGCCAGATGTGAGGAAGGCTGAACTTGATGGGCACATGGTTTTTTTCAGCCTATGAAACTATGTAACTGTGTTATTGTATGAAACTAGTTATAAATAGCTGCTTTAGTTTGGTTCATCCATTTCCTTGTTATCTCATGCTGAATGATGAAGTTAACATCTACCAAACGTTTATTTTATTAATCATTAATATTAGGGATCATAAGGTAATTGCAGATTGCTGCAGGATAGGTGGATGCTTAAGGGATATGACTGAAGCATTGTTTAGTTGTACTCCTCATGGATACAACTATTAAAGGATTGCATAATTTTATGATCCATCTGTGCTTCCTATCCCTTTCAGTCCTACATTGTTAATGCTCTGGATACATTGTTTCAACAAGCAACTAGATTATGTATTCTAAGGTTTTACTAAGTAAGGCAGAGCTAAGAACTCAAATTAAAGGACCACTATAGTGCCAGGAAAACATACTCGTTTTCCTGGCACTATAGTGCCCTGAAGGTGCCCCCACCCTCAGGGACCCCCTCCCGCCCGGCTCTGGAAGGGGGAAAGGGGTAAAAACTTACCTTTTTCCAGCGCTGGGCGGAGAGCTCTCCTCCTTCTCTTCCTCCGTTCCGCCCCGTCGGCTGAATGTGCACGCGCAGCAAGAGCTGCGCGCGCATTCAGCCTGTCAATGCTTTCCTATGGACGCTGGCGTGCTCTCACTGTGAAAATCACAGTGAGGCGCACGCAAGCGCCTCTAGTGGCTGTCAATGAGACAGCCACTAGAGGATTAGGGGGAAGGCTTAACCCATTAATAAACATAGCAGTTTCTCTGAAACTGCTATGTTTATTAAAAATGGGTTAACCCTAGAAGGACCTGGAACCCAGACCACTTCATTAAGCTGAAGTGGTCTGGGTGCCTAGAGTGGTCCTTTAAGTAGGAAATTTTAGTTTGGTGCTCTAGCAATTCTTTTCCTTTTGTGGTTTTATAAAAAAAAAAAAAAAAAAAGCCAATTCTTATTACATCTTATAAGTCAATGATACTGGAAATTAAAAGATGGTGTCAACCTCCTGCATTATGGGTGCATACCATAAGGGACATACAATCTAAATCAGTGGTTCCAAAACCAGTCCTCATTGCCCACCAACAGTACGGGATTTATGTATTTACCAATATTCCAAACCTGGACTGTTGATGGGTCTTGCGGTTTGGGAAACACTGATCTAAACAATGTTTTCCATTTTCTTTGTTATAGCCTCTAGGCAACTCTCCATTTAGGGAATCAAGTAGGACACTTCTCTGGAATTTAGATATGGGGAGGCTCAACCATTATTGCCTTGAGGCAACTCATACACTAGCACTTGCTTTATATTAAGGCCTTAATTTAAGGATTAAGTTCAATATTGATATAACTATAAATTTAGTTACCGTTCTCCAGCCTACAATTTGATTTTTAATGATGGGTGTTTTTTTGTTAATGTTTGTGCACAGGTGTATCTACTAATTAAGTTCATATTCATTTTATTATACAGTAATACACTGCCTTATTGTACTTTAATTCTCAAAATCTTTTTTAAAAAAGAAAGATTTTTTTTTCTGGGTTCACCAAATTGACTACAAAATGTCAGAAAAATATGGGTAAGAAATTGACCCTTTATTTTTATATATAGACTGAAAACAAAAAAGGCAAAAAATGAAAGTATTGCTATCAGAGGAAGAGGAAATTTGTAACACAAAAAAAAAAAGTTTTTAAAAAGTGGAGCAAAATTGAAACACATTACAAAAAGACATAAGCAGGTACAAAATGTTCTTTATACATAAATCCCCATTGTTTTTGTTTCTCGTCCTCCAATGCAATGTGTGCTTGACTGCCAGAACTGAACTGGATTATGCATGTTTCTAAATATTTAATATAAATGTAAAAGAATACAAAGCATGAAAAAGAAAAAATATTAACATGTTAAAGACAATTTTCTATGTTTTATTCAATAGTGTAAAAGTGACAAATCCCAGCTCTTTTTACAAGTGTCTGCATTCTGAACATATGAGACAAGAGGCAGCAAAAATATTTTCAAGGTCATGGATCTTGAACTGCAACTCACATAATCACAGTAGCAGGCAGGAAAATATGGAAATTGTACTCATATATCAATATATATCAATGGGAGATACCTGTCAACAATACTATGCCCTGTTATAGCTTTTTTTTAAGGTTTCAAGTATAAACGTTTCTACCATCCCAAGTCATTAGCAGATGTCTTACAACACCAATCTGAGATTTCTCGTACCTTTAGTTCGAGAGATCCAATATACTGCAGCTCCTAAAACTTATTATCACCAGTGCCTAACCTTTCTGTGGGTTTGCACTCCATTTTCCTAGTTCTTTAAGTGTAGATTGACGTTTAAACAGGTCTGCTTAGCTTCTAAACTCTAAAAACATTTAAATATATAAATAATTTAAACTGAGACAAAATAATATTAGAGATCTATGGTTGATATGGTGGAAAAGTTAACCAGGACTGCTCTCGATGACAAATAATCTATACAGAGAACAATAAATGTCAATATTTAAAGGCCTCCAGAGTACTATTTGAGGGTTGTAAAGTTATATACTACATTTCATTGTTCATTCTTGATTTCAATGAATGAGAAAACTACTCCTTTACAAACACACACTGCATTCCATCTAATTATAGTAGAATTTGCCACAATTAGTATCATTTCTTAAACCGATAGCCTAAGATACCTTTCACCAGTTTGGAAAACGCCATACATAAGCAAAAAGCAGGTTCTCTATCAGTACTTCTAATCAATAGGACTATTAACACCTTTCAATTATGGTACAGTGCTCTAATATGTTAGCACTTTATAAAGAATTATGATACTCATCGTTATTATTAGTATATCATTAGCAAATTATCCATCACTTTACAATTATAACGTAAAGGTATAACAGCAAGTTACAAACTAGAACAAACGGTAACTGGAGATAAGAGTTTATTGAGGACCATGCTCAAATAAGCTTACAATCTAAAATAATTACAGCAATGGATAATTAGTCATTTCAGCTGTAGCATATATTAGAGCAATGTATCTTATAGAAACAAGTGGCAATATATACAAATATAAATTGCAACAATCACAATGACCCATATTTTAGCATATGCTCGCTTTTACTTTATAAAATTCTGAAACATGATATAATGTACAAATTGAAGATATAAGTATAAATGTATAATAACTAAAATATCCTTTGCCCTATGGTATGTAGTAAACCAATATTAAATACTGTTTTGTTTGTTTACAAATTGAAACAGCTGCCAGTGACTGTGGTTTGTGTTATGTTACTGAAATGTACACTATTCTACTTAAAATCATCACCATACTATATTCCTGTTTCATCCATCTCTGTCCTCTGTCATGTTACAACCCTGGTCTGAATGTAGATTCCAGACAGCCATTCACTATGCCAGCACTGTCAACTTACACCTCTAACAATATAACCTATCTGTTCAGCAATTAAAAATTAGGCTCATACTGTAATAGTGAATAATAACAACAATAATAATAATAACAAAAATAATAATAATATATTTTGTACTCTAGTCTGCAATTCTACTCTAATTATCTAGTATTGATTCCGAACTATTCAGTTGCCTGGGGTATCGCTTAAGGGTCTTGCAATGAATGGGTTAACCTCTTGGCAATTCCTGAAGTTGTGCATTGCTGCATAAAGCCATAGTGAATGTTAAGGGCTGTGTGTTGCATTGCAGAACCCACCACTGTTTTAATTGTAAAATGTTTTAAATTAAATGGTAAAGCCTTGGTTTTAGCCTTGTTTTGACATAGCAACATGGCTTCATTCTATAAGAAAAAGGTTTGGTGTTCTAATACACAGGGATATATTTAACATTTTAATGTAAATTATGGTTTTGTGTTTAAATACACTGGGAAATATTTAAAAATGTTATGTGACTGATGGTTTATGGTTCTAATAAACTAAAATGTATTTAACCCTTTAATGTAAATAATGGTTTTAGGGTGTAAAATACTAAGATATATTTACCATTTAATGTGCCTGAAGGGAAGTAAACATCACAAACACTTGGGGTCTGCCAGCCCCTGTTGAGGACCGGTGACACCTGCCCCTCTGCATGCAGATATCCCTAGGGATAAGGCAAAATGAAAATGGTACCTGTGTGCCAGCTCTAGTCAGCAGATGAACCTTGTTTAGAATGGCTTATGAATGCAGTCCTGAAATCCTGGGCAGATGAAGGATGCTGAGCTCTATACTCCACAGACAGAGGCTTGCAGCTGGATGAAGGGATGGATGGTAGGGAGGTTGCAGCTCTCCCAGCAGGCTTGGTTTGTGCTGGGTACAGATTACAGGCTGACTGGCTGGCTGTGCAGATCCTGTGTGTGTGCGTTGCCTTCACTCGCCCTCTCCCCGAGGCTGGCGACTGCTCCGGGTCAGCGTTTTGGAGGGTGCAGACAAGTTCCCAAGCTGAGTCACAGCGGTGGCCGGCCGGCTACTGGAAGTCGCCCCGCTGGCTACCCTCGTCCAATCACTGGGGCTGGTATGAAAGTACGAAGAGTGGGATGTGCCAGACAGTCAGTGCCAACCCCTGTGCAGGCAGAGACTCGTGCTCTGTACATCTCACTGGGCTCGGAACAGATAACACGTGATAGATAGAGATTAAGGGATATATAGTATTTCTGTATTATACTAATGTGTGTATGTGAGGTATAGTCTATACATAATAAATATAATAGGGCTATCTATAATCGTGGTCTAATATAATAACATATTGAAATCCATACTGTAATTATGGATTTCATGTGAGTGAGATGTGTCTGAGTTACAGTTTCATTAAATTGATTATCTATTTATCTATCCCTCTATATATCTCTAACTCTCTATCAACAAGTGTGTGTGTTTATACAGATATTCTGCACATTCTGTGCTCTGTGCACTCATTAACATCTAGAATTGTCACCCACTTGACAATTTCTTGATTTACCTACTCTTGTTTAGTTTTTATTATAATTATTACTGTTTCATCGTGTTTTATTGGGTTTGTTATCATTTGCTTATTGGGAATATTACAATGCTTTAGCTATATGACTTGGAGAATGCTCACCAGCTTACTGTTTTTTACAAGGACATTGTTGTACTTTGTACTTTCACCTGTGTGTATTTTTATGTCTTGTTAAAGGACCACTCTAGGCACCCAGACCACTTCAGCTTAATGAAGTGGTCTGGGTGCCAGGTCCTTCTAGGGTTAACCCATTTTTTTATAAACATAGCAGTTTCAGAGAAACTGCTATGTTTATGAATGGGTTAAGCCTTCCCCCTAATCCTCTAGTGGCTGTCTCATTGGCAGCCACTAGAGGCGCTTGCGTGCTTCTCACTGTGATTTTCACAGTGAGAGCACGCAAGCGTCCATAGGAAAGCATTGTAAATGCTTTCCTATGCGACGGGCTGAATGCGCGCGCAGCTCTTGCCGCGCGTGCGCATTCAGTCCAAGAGGAGGATCGGAGGAGTAGAGGAGGCAGAGAGCTCCCCGCCCAGCGCTGGAAAAAGGTACGTTTTTACCCCTTTCCCCTTTCCAGAGCCGGGCGGGAGGGGGTCCCTGAGGGTGGGGACACCCTCGGGGCACTATAGTGCCAGGAAAACGAGTATGTTTTCTTGGCACTATAGTGGTCCTTTAACTTGCATTTACCATAAAGATCTTATTAAAAAAACAAATACATTTGTATCATACTATACTATACTCAATTTACTATACTATATCTATACTACTGTAGGTATTATGCATTGCATGGCATTCCATGGAAATGTGCGATGTAAGATTGATAATCATGGTATATGGATAGCAAACCAGCCATTCAGCCAGACATCCAGGAGCGACATGACCGCTAGACTGATTAGGCAGCCGTGTTGCAGTGTCTGGGTTATTTGCAGCAGGGGAGCTCACAGCATGGCGCTCCCTTACTGCTGGTCACAACATGCAACTGGCACACAGAGGGCTGGGGGAAGAGAGAGGCCTACAGAGGGTTGGGTGGGAAAGGCACACATATGGCTGAGGGTGTTGAGAGATACAGAGGGCTAAGGGGGGGGTGAGAGTCAGAGAGGGCTGAGGGGGAGCAAAGAGGCACACAGATGGCCTAGGGGGGGAAATAGACATGGTGAGGGTCTAGCAGGATGACAAAGAGCCACAATGAAAGGCTTGGGGAAAGGACAAAGAAACACACAGAGGGGCTGGGAGGGAGAAGAAAGACACAGAAAGGGCCTGGGCAGGAGAAAGAGACCCTCAATTGTGCTTAGGGGAAGAGACACACATAGGGTCTGTAGAAGGGAAAAGAGACACACAAAGAGATTGGGGGACAAAGGCGCACACAGAGGTGCTCGGGGTACAAAAAGACACACAGGGCTGGGAGGGACAAAGAGACACACAGAGGGGCTGGGAAGAGAAGAGAGATATACAAAGGGTCTGGGGGAGAAAAAACCCACAAAGGTGTTGGGGCGAGAGAGACACTGAGGAGAAGGGGGAAAAGAGACACACAGGTGTTAGGGAGACAAAGAGACACACAGAGAGGCTGGGAGGAACAGAGAGACACAGAGAGCAGCTGGGGAGGACAATAAGACACAGCTAAGAGCTGGGGAGGAAAAAGAGACACACAGAGGGGCTGGGGGGGCAAAGAGACACACAGAGGGGCTGAAAGGGACTAAAAGCCATATGGAGGGGCTGTGAAGAGAAAGAGGTTCACAGAGGGGTTCGAGAGAAGAGCTACAAACAAAGGCTGTGGTGAAAAAGAGACCCACAAAGTTGGCTGAACAATGGAAAGAGAGACACACAAAGGGCTAGGGGAAGAAAGAGACAAAGTTGGCAATTTTTGTTTTTGGGTGGGTGGCGTAAGTGGCTAGTCTTGCCTAGGGCACAAAATAGTTTTGCACAGACCCTACATCCATCCACCCATCCAGCAAAGATAAGTAATAGTGATAGACCCATCAACTTACACAATACTCTTTACTTGTGCATATATAAACAAACAGATGCATACTCCTGCAAAACACACATAGTGACAAATGCATACACCCTATATAAACTCCTGGCTATATACATCTATACAGTTAAAGCCTCCACAAAAAAACTTACAGACCTACTCATACAACCCCAAACACACATCAGGGGAAATACTTTTTCAGGGGAGCAGGGTTACAGGTGCCCTCAGGCCACCTTCAAGAGGATGAATGGGGTCAGGGAATGCCTCACCATTTGGTAGAATTCTAGGCCATGTGACCCACTAATGCATTGTGGTCCAGTTAGGGAGGAATGAATAGCTTCCATAGTAGAAAACATTACAGATCTTCAGTGAACCCTTCATCCCAAGTTGACCTACTCACATTTTTTGTCTCCACCTCAACGCTTTATAAGTTTTATTTTAAAATTCTTTATTTTCATTTTCTCTCCCAGTCTTGTAAACCTATTTCTCTAGTTATGTGTATGTTTGTACTCTAATTCTGTGTTTACCTCATGTCCTCCTTTCGCAGTTGTTTCCTAGTTTAAAGCATATCACCCCTCTAAACTATGTACATGTGTAAAAATGTCCATAGGTTAGGAAGACTAGATTTTAAATATCATTAAAATATGATTAGTGGAATGTTTTGTCACTTTTTTTTTTTTTTTTATAGGGTGTAAGTTTTCGAGGTGCATTTGAAGATAATGTATGATTTGGATGTGTTGAAATTGCATGGAAATGGTAAGTTTAAACAGTGCTAGGCCAATCCATATTACATTATCTCAGTTTTATATTCTTTATTTAAAAGCTCTTGTTTCTTGTTATTTTACTAATGCAAAACAATGTTTGTTTGTAATGGTTGTCCTCTGCTTCCCCCTCAAAACCATAAAATTCCTGGTGCATTTCCCAGCCACTTGAAGGTTTTAATGTAGCCACAATAGCTCCCCACCTACCATGGCTAGTGATAGAGACATTGTGGCATCAGGTGGCAAATTCATAATTTGTCACTTCTACTCCTGGTGACCAGAATTTTCTAAACTTACTGTCACTTATTCATCCGCACATAAAAATATGGTTAATGGCATTTACTGTCCTGACAGGAAAAGTTGTGCCGAGCAACATTACCGTCCTGACAGGAAAAGTTGTGCTGAGCAGCAACCATGCACTTGGAAACCTTGTAATTGCCTTTGGGGTCAAAGGCTGGTTACAGCCAATCAGATCCACAGGAGGGTTATTTAAACCCAATTCTCCTCTTGCTCATTGCCCTGTCATGGTTTCATGCCTATGGTTTTCCGAGAGTGCGTTCATGATCTTGATTTTCTGGTATTTGAAATTGGCTTTGTTTTGACTTCCCTGATATCTGGCTTCCTTGACGTTTGGCTTTCCCTCAACATTGTGTCTGATTCTGTGTCCCTGACTTCGGCAAGTATTTTGACTATTCTTGGAGACGTTAAGTCCGGCCATTCTAAGGTCTGGTTATACGTTATCCTTAGTCCTAGGTGTGACACAGTACTGTGTCCTGGATCAGCTTGTAATCCTGACACTTACACCATGGAGGAGGCAGAAAGAAAACTATCCAATAACATGTAGAATATGATTTAAGGGAGTTCAGTTGACTATTAAGGGAAATAACCGGGCAGCCAAGGGGAGAGTGAAATTATATCTATCAAATTACGCAATATGAACACAATAGACTATCAAATGCCATGGAACAATAGAACAATACGAACAATAGAGAACAACAGAGGGCAATATGTGAGTGGTTCTCGCGTATATACATTTTAGACCAGAGTGTGTACAAATATCAGGTGTTTCCCAATAAAGTTATATTCCTCGCTCACTCCATCAAGTGTCTGGTTGATTGCTGTGAGAACCAGAGAGAAAACAGCACTATTATCAAGTAGTTTTGGTAGCATTGTTACTGCCTACAAAATTCCTGAACTAAGCAGGAGAACTCCCCAGAGAAAGGATCTCCAGAGTTTTATAAGCTTACCTATCCTCAGTATATAGGCAATGATTTATAGGTGTTGGAGGAGCCATTTTGTATTTAGAATTTTTTCAAAATTCTATACATTTACTACCAATTTTGCTAGCACAATATAAATATGGAATTGTACACTCTTTAGCAGAATAAGTTGTAAGACCATGAGGAGTCAGGCAAGGCCTAGACAGAACATGGACATGTGAGTGTGAGGGTAGTGTATACAGAGGAATGTGATAAAGTGGTCCTGGGACAGTGGGTGGAGTAGTAAGGGGTAGATGGGTGGGATAATTAAAATAGGTTGCCATCTTACAGGATAGCAGCCATATTAATTATCAGTTGGTAGCAGCTTGGTAATTGCAGGTTCCTGTACTCGTTATACCTTCCAGGATGTGTGAATATCGAAGCTGTCCTCTCTGCCCTCAGGGCTGAGGCCTTACAAGATGGGGTCTGCACTTGCAGGCTCAGCTGGCTCATTTTCAGGCCTCCGGTGATAGTGGAGGTTCCCAGAGGCGAGCTCGGCCACCGGAACGTTTTGCCCATCAAGGAGAAGCTACGGGACCTCCTGGGTTTAGGAGTGCTTCACCTCCCTTGCGGGCTTCTGTCACTACCCAGGCAGCTACTGTCCG